GCCTGGTCTACATAGTGAGTTCCAGGACAGCTGGGGCTACAGGGAGACCCTGTCTCAAAAAGACGAAAAAAATAAATTAATTAATTAAAAAATGGCCAGGCGTGGTGGTGTACACCTTTGATTCCAGCACTTGGGAGGCAGAGGCAGGTGGATCTCTCTGAGTTCGAGGCTGGCCTGGACTATATATAGTGAGACCCTGTCTCAAAAACAAAACAAAATCTTACAGCCCTTCTACACTTAGCTTTGCCTCCATCCATGTAGCTGTGGGTGAAACCTGAACTCCTGATTCTCCCGTCTCCATGTCCTGAGCGCTGGGACGACAGGCACGCACCCCTATATGGTGCCGGACATCAAACCCCGGCCTTTGTACACTACCAAGGGAGCTGCATCCTGAACCCTGTTTAGCCTCTGTTGAAAGAAAAATTAAAGCAAGGAGTGAGAAGCCCAGTAACGCGAGGGGAGACAAGGCGGTCCTTCTGCAGCTGGAGTCCTGACAAGCAGAAGCAGAGCTCCGGGGTAGGGCACGCCCGAGTCTGAGCTGCACTGGACGGTCCCTAGTTCCAAGCCCAAAGCAGTATGGGACCCGGGCCAGGAGTATGGCTTGGCAAATAATATTGTATGTTGGCATGACCGAGCTTGCCTGCGGGCTGTGTGGGTTTGGTTCTGGCAGCACAGTTGGGCACTGAATTACTTTAATTGGCCATGCCCAATAAAATGCTAATTCTGTAACAGCTGCTGATGGGGTAAAAAGGTAGACGCCCCACATTAAATAGAGCAAGTGTCTGGAAAGACAACCCCCCCAGCACTTCTGATGTAACATGTGTGTCTTACTCCATTTTCTGTTGATATGACAAAGTAGCTGAGGTTGGAAATTTATAAAGAACAGAGGTTTGTCTCAGGATTCTAAAGCATAGAAAATTCAGCATCAAGGGGCTGGTGTGTGCTGGCCACGCTAAAGGGCACATAACACGACAGAGAGAGCCTGGTTCAGGACACTTCCTCTTCTCAGAGCCCCTAGTGCCATCACAGGGCTCCACCAACACTATCTAACCCTAGTCACTTCCAGATCGGTTCACACATGCATTTTGGGGGGACCCATTTTGGGGGAACCCATTCAAACTCTAGCAGTGTCCAACTTCTCAAAAAGTCAGCGATGGTGTTTCCAGCTCAGCTCTGGTTCCGGTGTCCCCCAGGCACCTGCCATCTTTTCCTGTCCTGTTACCCTTTGCCACTCCTACATCAGACCCCTATGCCTAGGGGCAACCTGAGCTCTGGGCCTTCCCTTCTCAGTGGGAGGGTGCCCCCACTGAGACCGTCCAGGGGTCCAGAGGAAGTCTCCTGTGATAGGTTTTAGCTTTGACATCACCTTGGGTATGTCCTGGGAGCCTGGGTCCTCGACATCGGACACCATAGACTGGGTCAGCTTTCTTTGTATCTGCACAAATCAGAGAAATATTTAGGGTTATCAATTTCAAGGCCTTCATCTTTTTAAAAAATATAATTTTAAGGGGGCTGGAGAGATGGCTCGGCGGTTAAGAACACTGGTTGTTCTTGCAGAAGACCTGGGTTTGAATCCCAGCACCCACATGGCAGCTAACAACTGTCCCTAACTCCAGTCCCACGGATCTGACAGCCTCTTCTGACCTCCATGGGCATTGCATGACACAGGCACACTTACCTACATGCGGGCAATACACGCATACACATAAAATTTTTTTAAAAATATATAATTTTAAAGTTGCATTTATTGTGTGTGTGCATGCGAGCATGTTCTTGTGTGTTCACGCCATGGCGCACATGTAGCAGTCGGGAAAGTTCATGGAGTTGATTTTCTCCTCCCATTATGTGGGCCCCAGGGATTGAACTCAGGTTATGAGGCTTTGTGGAAAACTCCTTACCCCACTGCGCCACCTTGCTATCCTGGCCTTTGTCTCTTTAACATGTCTGCAAACCGAAATGTGTGTATGTAGAGGAAAAGGTTTCAGGGATGTCCAACCTTTTGACATTGCAATACGACATCGTGGTCTACAAACACGTTGGTGCGTGTGGCCTTTGGGCTGCAGATGGGCCATCCCTGATTTTGATGCATGGCTGCAACCGAACACTGAGGTGTGTGTTTTCTGCTCTGGCTGACACTGATCTTTGAAATGTGTTCCTTCCAAACCCAGAATCTGATCACAGGAAAGTAATGAAAATGTTCAGGTGACATTCTGTTTGTCCAAACTTGAAAAAGGAAATGGCGGAGGATGATTGTAGCTCAGTGGTACAGCACTTGCATGCGTGAGGCCCTAGGTTCAATTCCTAGTGAAAAAAAAAAAATGAAAAAAGAAAGCCATTTCTGAAAACACTTCTCTTCACTCAGGGGTATTTGTTGAACTTTCAATTCCTCTTTTTTTAGTTTGCTTTCTATTTCTGTGATAAAACACTGACCAAAACCAACTTGGGGAGGGAGGAAAGGCCTTATTTGCTGTACAGTTCCACATGAAAGTCCATCACTGAGGGTGGGAACTCAAGGCAGGAGGCTGGAGGCAGGAACTGAAGCAGAGATCATGGAGGAACGCTGCTCGCTGGTGTGCTCAGCTCCCTTTCTTATACAGCCCAGGCCCACCTGCCTAGGGATGGCACCACCCAAGGTGGACTGAGCCCTCCGACATCAATTAGCAGTGGAGAAAATGCCCCATAGGCCAATGTGACAGAGCAAATTCCTTAATTGAGATTCCTTCCCAGGTGACTCTAGTTCATGTTGACAAAAAATAACTAGCACTTTGAAATTAAAAGTTCAACAAAAAGCACTGGGCAGTGGTGTACATCTATGATCCAGAAGTTGGAAGGCTGAAACAAGAGGACTTTGATTTCTATTCTAGGCTATAGAGCAAGACCCTGTCTTAAAAATCCAAGGGCAGAGGGTATAGCTCAGTGGAAAAGCACCAGCCTCAGGTTTGCTCAAGGCTCTGGCTCCCATCCTTGGCACCGACAAAGAAAAGCTTCGGGAGTGGAAAGATGGCTCAGCAGTTAGGAGTGTTTGCTGTGCAATTGTGAAGACCAAGTTTGGATCCCAGCAACAGTGTAACAAGTCAGGTGTCCTGCAAACTCAGCCAAGAAAATCTCCCACAGCCACGCTCACAGCCATGCCCAGCGGTTCACTTCTCAGGTGATTCTAGATCTCAAGTTGGCAGTTGAAATTAGCCGATTCACCACTCCCTCAGGGCACTGAAACAGTACAGCAGAAGACTGTCCCTGCGCAGTGCGCTGCCAGAAGACCCCAGTGATGATTCAACTTGAAAATGGCTCTGGAATGTTTGAAGAGCATAGCTTAGCAAATCATGCTGAAATCAGTAAGTTGCACCTGTTAACAGGGGGCATGAGTTACGTGCACATGCATAGTGTTGTCTACTTGACCAGGAATCTAGAATCACCTGGGAGATAGGCCTCAGGGCAGGCCTGTGGGGGATTTTCTTGGTTGCATTCATTGAGGTGGGAAAACCTGTCCGCTGTGGGTGGCGCCATTCCCTGGCCGGGATCCTGGGCTCTGTACATGGAGAAGGGAGCCGAGCAGAAGGAGCAGCAGCGTTCTCCTCTCTCTGCTTCCTGACTGTGGGTGGGCTGTAAGTAGCTGCCTCAGGCTCCTGCCATCTCCACTTCTCCACTACGACAGACTGTATCCTTGAATTGTGCACCAGAATGAACCCTTAGGTTCCTTTTGTCAGAGCATTTTATCACAGCAACTTGAAAAGGAACTAAGATGTGTGTGTACGTGTGGAACAGTAACCAGAGCTGGTGGGTGGCATGGTCTATGGAAGCCACAGCCCTCGGACAGAGTCTGAGCATGGTGGACTTGGGAGGGAAGCATTATGGGCTCCTGGGTTTGGGAGGATGAAGTGGGGTAGGCGGAGGGGACAGGAGGGAGGGGTGCTTAGGGCAAGATGCTCAATTGAGTCTCCTTTCCTTTGGTGGTGGTGTTATGGTGTACCCCCCTCCCCCAAGAACAAACTACATAAACTCATTTATGGGTAGTGCTCGTTTACTCATTTAAAAAAAAAAAACAAAAAAAAAAACACCCAACAGGTCTTACATACAAAACAAATTTTTTTTTTGTTTTCAAGGGTTAAAAGCACTCTTAAAAATTTAAAGTGGGAGCATGGTTGACGTGGAGCTGTTTCTCCCAGAAGCACTTAAGTGAACGCATAAGCACGCAAAATCTGTTACACGTAGGCCAAGACCGCTGAGGACGGTGACAGGACCACAGGCCCCGAGTGCCATAGCTCTGACATGGCAGATGCTGAGGCTGCTGGGAGTGTGTGTCTGCGTTTGGGCACAGAAGTGAACTATGATTAAGACCCAGGTGCACAGGTAGGTGACCCACTCCCACATTAGAACACCAATGGGATTCAGCCACAAAGTAGAGCTCATATCGCAGCAACCCAGGACACCGAGTGGCAGAGCTCGGGTAACAGGTGGATAACCACAGGACAGAGTGGCCCTCAAGGCCCAGCATGGCTTCAGTCCCCACAGTTGGCTCCTCAGCACTAAGGCAACATCACTTGGCATCACACAGCCTAATCTGTAGGATCTAGAGCTGTTGCCTGCAGCCCAGCCTCAGCGCCAGCCAGGTCCTTCTTTCTCCAGGGGAGAGGCAGGGAGTAGAAAGCCATGTGGGTTGCTGGTGTTGTCGTTGGTTACACCCAACTGTGCTCTGGGTCCTGCACGGCAGGAGTCGGGAGGGCTCATCCGCAAGGCTTCTAGGGCTGGGTTTCACCATCGAGGGGGGCACGTGTGTTCAGGGAACCGGCTGCTTTACTGCCTCACTAGAGCAGACACCAACAGGAGCGTCCACACCAACACGTGGACTCACCTTTGAGAGCCACGACTAAAAACAAAGGTCAGCAGCCCTCACATGACGAGGTTTATCTAGACCGATGCTAGAATCCTCCAGCAACTGGACAACACAGGACGCTGGATGATCCAGGCTCAGCTACGCTGTGGAGCCAGCAGCCAGATTTTCACATATCACAGGGGATGGCTGGCTAGCTACTCACTGGCCGTTGTGCTCTGAGGCGTTTTCCAATTGCGGGGCTGTAATTACAGCTTTTAGAAGACAGGTTCTGGAAGGGGCTGGGGTCCTTCATGAAACACCCTGTCCCAGCGTCATCCCTCAGTCGCATCAGAACTTCCGAGGTGGGCAGCCATCGGCGTCCCCAGGCTTCAACGTTTGTACCAGCAAGTGACCAGAAAGTCCCAGCCCCGTCTCTGACCCTCACGGGGAAGGTCAGAACAAAACCTCCTCTGCTCATCTACACCACACATGCACAGAGGCCACAGACAACTGCAGTTAGGAGCGCCCTGCAAAATCAAACATTTTCCAAAAATAGTTCTTACAGCACTTTAAATAACTTACAAAAAAGCTACAAAAACCATGTTTACCAGGACACATCTGTTAAATAAAAACGTCATCTGAGGTTAGTGTACATATATACACACACACGGCTACATAGAAAGGACCTGGTTTTCTCTCTTTAACTACCAGGACTCCATACACACAGGTACAGACACACAGACACTGCTTTCCATAGATGCAGCGACAGCCAGGATGTCTGTCACAACTTGAGGACTTTCCCCTTCACTTTGTTGCTGCCCCCGTCTTCCACGGAGGTGTCACTGAATTCACTGGCATCACTGCCCAAGGCTTCCTGGGCTTGGGCATCCCTGTGCTGGTACCTTAGGTCTAGGATGTTGTCTTCGGGGCCAGAGCGCCTTCTGTGGTGTTGTTTGAGGCTCCCCTGAGCCTTCCAGCTCTGCCAGTGCCCGCCGTCCTTCATGAGCAAGTGTGGGCTTCCAAATACAGGGCTGTGGCCGGGCTGGGTCCCCCTGAAGGTTGAGAAGGCAGGGCCCTGCAGGGAGAGTCCCAGGCTGGGGCTGAAGAGACCGGCCTGTTGGCCTCCCCAGGAGACACTCTTCCCGAAGTGGAAGAGCTGGGTTGAGAGCAAGGGGGAAAAGCCTGGGAGAGGCAGGCCCTTCCTGGGGCCTGAAGAGAGGCTGGGTGGGGCCCCAGCCTGGGACATGGCCCCCTTTTCTTTCTCACCCCCAAAGACCCCAGTCCATGCTGTGCCTTGACCTGAGTTCAGTGTCCATGGGCTGGGGAGCCTGCTCTGGTGTGTGAAGTCACTCCATGGGAGGGTGAGGTCAGCTTGGGGTCCAGGGCTGGGGGTCAGTAAGTTCTGGCTGCCATAGTTCAGGTGAAAGGTCCCTCCAACACTTCCAGACTCAGCACCTACTTTGGCAGAACCGGGCAGCTGAGCAAAATCACTTTCCGCAGCGGCCGTCTCCGTCCCTCGTGGACCCGGGTCTTTGTGAATGCTGCCACCTTTCCTGCTTGACGGAGAGGCTCTGGCCGAGCTGTTCCCGCTGGCGTTCCTGGGCAGCGCTGCCTCACATCGGCCCGGGGTAGCAGGCGGGCAGGCAGAGTGCTCAGCACGGGGAGTGCTCCTCCCAGTCTGGCTCAAGAGGCTAGCTGCCTGCGTCCCAGCTCTCTCTGAGCACCTTCTTCCTTCGGCCAGATGAGGGGTCCCCCTGGCCCTTTGGCTCCGGGTGCACACTCCAGGCTGTGGTCCCAGGGCTGGCTCTTTCTTGCAGAGTATCTCTGGCCTGGCAGGGCTCCCCGGCCCAAGAGTAGCAGGGCCCCCTCCTTGAGGTTCTGAGCTGCGGACAGACTCCTTGGCCTTTTCTGCCAAAAACCTCCTGATCTCCAGCTCGATGCTGTCATCGCTGTCCACCGAGCTGTCCTCAGACAGGGGGCTGGAGGCTGGAGGAGGGCGGCTGCTGGCTGCCGTGTCCTTGGAGAGCAGCCTTCCTTCAGGACTTCTCTTCCTGTGGAGGGGAGCTGGGGCTGCACCCTCGTCCCCTGTGCCTCCCGGCTTCACTCTCTCTGCCACGCTGCTGGAGGCGCTCGGCAGGCCTCTACCTGGGCTGTCCCTCCTGCACCTGGGCAGACAGCCCCGTAGCACCTGTGGTCCGTGGTCTTTCCAGGCTCCAGGGAGGCTGCCCAGCTTCTCCCCGAACCTTGTCTCCGTGGCACCAAACCTGACCTTCTTCTTCCATGCAGCCCGGGGGTCTCGGCACCTCTTCTTGACCTTCCGCTTGGACCGTAACAGGTCCTTGATGGCCATGTCGAGGTCCTCATCGCTGTCCAGGGAGCTGCTCTTGTCCTCGGAGCTGCCCTTTTCACCCGTGCTCTTCCCCTCACCTGCCTTCCCCTGGCTCTCGTTGCCCTGTGACACGTGTGCGTCACTGAGCCCAACTGTCCTGGAAGGAGCAGGCTGGCCCTTGGTCTCCGCCTCCCCTCCGGGGACCTCATTGGCTTTACCTTGGCTGAGCCGGTCCTGCCCGTCGTTGCTGGGCTGACCCTTCCCCTGGCTGTGGTCACCATCCTGGGTGCTCTCTCTAACCTCTCTCGTTTTCTTGGATACAGTAGAGCTGCCTCCACTTCGCCGCTTCCGTTTGCAGCTCTGAGGCAGATCTGGTGTTTTGGAAAGAGGGGTTTTGGGGATGCCAGTCTGGCCATTGGGGCCAGGTGGGGCCAGTGGGCCCTGAGCAGGCTGAGGACTCCCTACCTGCGCCTTCAGCGCCAAAAACATCCGGATCTCCTGCTCTATGCTGTCATCGCTGTCGACGGCACTGCTGTCAGCATCTGAGCGGGGAGGCACAGCTGGGGGACAGGAGGGTGGGCTGGCGGACGGAGGCCTGTCGCCGCCGTTCACGGGGGCTGGCACGATGGTCTTGGAAATGTCCAGGATTGCTTCCGCACACATCAGCTCGGTGGACGTATCCGCCCGGCACGAGGCCTTGTGTGCAGTCTCGTTCCTGGTAGCTGTGTGTCCTGGCAGTACGGCGGCTTTGGCATCCTTCGGGAGCTTAGAGAGGGGTTCGAGGCGGAGACCCCCCGGGGTGGAGTCCGCCTTTGGGGCTGCTGGCTTCTTCTTGCTTGGGGGTTTCCTGTGGGCTTCGGGCAAGGCACTTGGCTGGGTGCTGCCAGGGCTTTCTTCCTTCGGCTGGGCTCTCAGAGGTGGGTCCCCGCTGGCCTCCTTCCTGGTCTTCTCCAGCTGGTACAGCTGGATGGCCTCCTCAATGCCATCATCGCTGCTGGAGTCCGATGCCTGGTGCACGGGGGTGGAGCTCCTGCTGCGTCTGCTGCGCCTGGTGGCTGTGCTTCTCCTCGCTCCGCTCCTGTTCTGTGTAGCCTCTGTCCTGGGAGTGGCCAGCCTTGCGCTCATCTGGGTCTCCGGCTCTGCAGTGACCTTAGGCCGGAGGCTTCTGGGTTGTGCGTTCATCTTTGCTAACCTGGGAGGTTTTCGGAAGATGAACTCCTTACAGGTTCCCATCACAGCCTGAGGCGGAGCCACTCTGGCTGGGACCTCTCTGCTCCCTTTAAGTCTGGCAGAGCTTTCGTTTGGATCTGACTTTTTATCCACAGACCCATCACATTTTGGGGTTTCATGCTGTCTTTTCTCATTAAGAAATTGCTCTATTTCAGCTCGGATGCTCTGTTCGAAGGAGTCCTCGCTGCTTACGCTGGCTGGGGAGGCAGAGCCCTGGCCCTTGCTGACTCCCACAGTGCTACCAGGAACACTGCCTGAGCCAGGAGGAAGTTGTGGGGGGCACAGGATGGGCAGGGTGCTGCTGTGGGCAGGCTCTGGGGCACAGGGGACTCCTTGGGACACAGGATCCGAAGCCCCACCCTTCGCCCTCAGGTACTCTTGGATGGCCTCCTCGATGTCCCGGTCCACAGAGTCGTCACTGTCCGAATCCAGCCCCAGCTCCAAGGTTGGTCCAAGTCTCCCAGGTTGGTTCTTCCCCAGGGAGTCTGGGTCTGCATCAAGACCACAGGCAGGGAACTCTGGCTGCTCTTTGCACAGGGCAGGGTTGGGGGCCAGCCTGGTGTCCCGGCACCTCTCTTCGCGTTGGCCTCTTTGTGTGACCCGCTCATGGCTCACACCCAGAGTAGCCCCATCTCGCTGCAGTGTGCTGATGATCATCTGTACCCTGGCACTCACTGAGGCCCTGGCGGCTTCCTCTTTAGATTCTGACAGGCAGTTGGGAAAGTGGAAGCTCCTGGGTGGGCCAAAGGCCTCCCATCTGGACTGGAGCGCCACCACTGGTGGGGCGTTCATGAGGAACATCCTAGCAGACAGGCTGAGTGCAGGGAAGCAGGCTTTAGGGATCAGCTGGTTTCACATCCTGGGAGGAAAGAAAGCCAGGGCTACAGCCCAATGCCCCCTGGCTCAGGATCCTAGGGTAGCTTATGCAAGCTTCCCAGGCCTCAGTTTTCCCAGACGTACTAGGGGTCACTTCCATCCCCTGGGCTGAAGACACAGTAAGAAAATGCTTGCAAACTCTGGCAGCCCTTTCTGTTCCCCTCTGGGCTTGCATCTTTTCTGGAAGAGGACAGACAGAGGGGTTATTAACTTCTCCCACAGCCTCTCTGTGCTTGAAAAAGAGTGAGTGTCCACATACCCAGGTGAGCTGGACTTTGCAGGCGGAAGCTCACAGGTGAAAATGACAAGTATACATCTTGCCAGATGATTTTCACGGGCCCGCATCATTTTTAGCTAATTAGCACGGAAGCTGACACAAACACAATAACCGCTGGTCACACCATTTGGGTGGGTCTGGGTCTAGTGGCTGGTACCATCTCTCTGGAGAAAACTGTGGTGTATAAACTGTAGATCACAAGCTTGTTGGGAAGATTGGACAGAAAGGGCACATTATGAAGCAAAATGACAGAAGCTTATGTTTCCACATCTCAGCCGGGCTGGTGTCAGGACATAGAACCTCTCCAGAAGGGACCTAATGGAGGTGGCCCAGGGTCACCTAGAAAAATACTGGCTGCTCTGTACAGCTCTTAATTCTTCAGAGGTTCCTGGGATCCCCTCCTGCCTCCCTGAGATTGGAGTACAATACAGTTCAGATACAAAGAGGGGCTCAAGGGACAAGACAGTGACAAAGAGAACTGGGCTCCCCTAAGTGATGTTGCAGAAGGCGGTCTCCACACCTAACCCAGGGTGGATGGTAGGACCTGGCTTCCACGTTGCATTTTTCCCACCAGCTGTTTAACCAGGGCAAGCTGCTCTTCTGACAAGGGATGATCTGCAGTGTGTGCACCACACTCCCCTCCTGGAGAGAGGTGGGGCTGGCCACCTTCACCCACGTCTGTTCAAACACTGTGCCCAGCAATTAACCAGAGGCCATAACCAATGCAGAAACCACTCATGAGCTATCATCAATGGTTCAAGAGTTTAACTAATGTACAAGAACACGTTGCAATTACTTGAAATTCTCAAGTCTAGGCTGATTTCCAGGTGGCTTTGGGGATGGGGTTTTTGCTTCTCCACTTAAGCTCTGAGGTACTGTCAATCAGATTTTTGTAAAAAAAATATTTATTTATTTTTATCTTTTTGAGACAGGGTCTTCCTGTAGCCCCAGTTGGCCTGGTAGACCAGGCTGGCCTTGAACTCGAAGACATCCACCTGCCTCTGCCTCCCAAGTGCTGGGATTAAAGGCCTGTGCCAACTGCGCCTGGCTTGGATGGCACCTTTTAAAATTGGTTTTGAGCTACTAGAATTAGAACAAATCTAGTTTAGAAACTGAAATGATAGCTTATTAAGTATATTTTTTGGAATGTTAATAAAAAGATCAAAATAAATTCAGGAATACTTGTTCTAAGATCAAATACATTAATTGTAGCTAATTTACCTCTAGAGGTAGAGACAGGAGGATCAAGAGTCCAAAGCCAGCCTTGTTTAAACATCCAGTTCAAAGACTGCACTTGCTTTACTGAGACCCTGTCTCAAAAAACAAAACTAAAGTACCAATACCTTAATAGGCAGGCAACCTATAACTCCAGGTAGGTACAGAGCTGGGGAGGAGACTAGCTTATCTCTACCCACCTGTCTATAGCTTGTAAGTGATGGACTCAGAATTCGGCTTCTGCCATCCTTTGAGTTGTTGGTTGGACTGACTTCCACGCCTGGGTCAATTTTGAGTGCTGTCATTCTGGAGAGCCACCAACTGGG